CAAGCGAAGAAGCCGAAGCGCCGTGGGTCTCTGTTCGTGGTGGTAAAGGAGAGAGCAGGAAAGGTTCGAAAGTTGGAAGCAAGTCCGGCACCGGGTCACCGCCGACGAAAGGCCAGGAGCCCGGATTCAACGTGCTGGCGGATGAGGGCGAAGAGACGCTGACAGAGGCACAGCAGCCGGAGTGACTGAATGTGCCATGAAGCATGAAACACGGGACCTGAGAAAACGCCACGTGATACCCACGGTGAAATCGTTCTTGCTCCGGTTTTTGATATCAACATTTGGGGGGATAAGGAAATAACATCGCATGATGGCTTTCAAGATTGTTGGACCAACTGGCCTAGCTTACCGGCACGGCCGGATTCGTAATGATCACGACGATTGGAGGGCATTGCTGATAGCCGCGGATGACGGGGATCAAGAAGCTGTCAGCAGGATGGTCACTGCAGCACCCGCTCCTCAACCTGGAGTTGACGCTCCGCTAACGGCAGCAACTCCTTAACAGATGCTCGACGGAGCGACGGCTGGGTTGGCGGAGCATGGGCAACAGCATTCCGTGCTGCGGAGGATACTGGCGATCCAGGTCATGGACCAAGGCGGCTGACAGTGGTATTTCGAGGGAGGAAAGGGAGGTGGCGAGGACCAGCAGGCCAGAGTGCTATTACTGTAAATGATGGCATGGCGAGTGCTTGGGTAACCAGTTCTTAGTTAGCGACAAAAATGTGTGTTTAATGATTGCCGCAAAGATGTGCATATCCGCAGTAAATCTCTCCGCTTTGACGTTACGTAATCAACCGTCGTGGGTCAGATCATCGCTGAGTCAGCTGCACTATGCCGCTTCGGGCGAAAGCAGCCCACAGCAGCCAATCAGCGGCCGCCGTGCGCACCACCACACGGGCGGGCGAGGTGGGGCAGTACGCTAGACCCAACGCGGGCTAGGCGGTACCGAATGGCGGCCGCTGATTGGCGCAGGGGCGGGTTCCCCTATTCCAGCAAGTGACAATACGCGGTCTTTCTCCTCGCTGCGTCTGTTTCTCTCTCTCTTCGTCTCCTCTCCTTGTCTTCTTCGCTCTGTCTCACTTCTCACTTTGTCCTCAACCTCACTCCCTCTTCGTTTCTTCTCCCCCTCGCCCTCCCTCTCTCTCTCGCTTCACGTCTTTCTTCCTTCTCCTTCGTTCTCTCATCGCTGGCGTTGACCTTCTCCCGCTTCCTGTCTCCCTTTCGACCACCTGCATTCGCCCCGTCGACGCCCGTGCTGTTGCTCGTCTCCCTTGCTGGCTGCCTCCCGTCGTTGGCTTCACTGCGGCCACTCCGTCCTCCTGCGTGGATTCTTCTTCTTCTTCTTCTTTTTTAGGCCCTCTTTTGTGTTTCTTTTTCAGAGCGTCCTGCATCTGCCTCCGTTTCGTATTGCCATTGTTTTCCTGGACTTCTGCGCTTCTTCCCCCCTGGACCATTTCAAGCAACCGATCTTTCGAGAACAACCTCCACCGTTCCACCCGCTCCCTTCGACACCGTCATGCGCTCTCGCCGTTGCTGAACGCATTGTCCATTCGGGCCTTGTCTCATAGTCCACCCCCTCACCCCCGTCGGCTGTTTGTGACATTTCATGTCTTGGTGAGTCCCTGCTTTATGCAAGCCTTCCCTCTGCGCCTCTCCGCCCTTCTTCCAACCTAAATCAAACTGCTTCACTGTTTCGATCACCGTCAAGCCACTCCCATCCCCGTTGGCCGTGTTCCTGGCCGACCAGTCTTTCTCACTGACCCGACTTTTTGACAGGTTGTCCTTTCTCCACCTTCACATAATCCCCATCGATTAATTTGCTGAACTCGGACGCTCGCTCGCTCCCCCTGTCCCCTTCTTGAACCGGAGACACTCGTGTCAACCATGGCCGCATTGGTTCAAACAATCCCTCAGCAAGCTAGTACAATCACCTTGCTCCAACCCCGTCCTGCTTCCGCTTCCGGCGCCACACAACTCCAATCCCAGCAGCACCACCCGCAGTATCAAATGGCCCGCAATACCCAGCACCACCGCCAATCTTACAGTGGTGTTGGTCCCATCACCGGCTACAGACACCCTCCCTCCTCCACACAACCTGTCGCCCCTTATGCCTTCACCAGCACTCCTAGCTTGGCCAACTCGGGTAACCAATCACCCCAGCTCCGCCCCAATTCGCTCTCGCAACTCAAAGCCGACAGCTGGAGTCATTCATCGCAGACAGACCTCACCCCTGCATATCCCGGCGCCGTTCCCCCTCGTGCGCATTACCATCATGCTGCTGGTTCGGTATCCACTAATTCTTCGGCGTCGGTTACGTCGTCCGCCCATTCTTTTCGTTCCAAGGATGACTCGGCTCTACCTTCTCGTCAAGTAAAACGGGAGCGTGCCCCGCGTCCGTTGTCCACTGTAGACTTGTCTCTTCCGCCCATCTCCTTGCTCACGCCTCCAGCCCCATCTTCTCCTTCTGCAAAACCTTCTCCAGATCGATATCGTCGTGGTCAGCGACGCACCGAACAGCTGGCCAACTCCAATGCCCCATCTGCCTCAGTCACGGTTGGCACGGTTCCATTAAGCCCTTCAGCGACTTCTGACGCAGCCTTGGGCGAAAAATACCCAGCCTTGTCGCTTTCTCGACCGGAGAATCCAGAACTGAAGCCCAGCTTCTCTCAACACAACAGAAATGCCAGTGCTGACAATGTTCCTACTACTGAGAAAGCGACCCCGGAACTTGCTAAGAGGTACCGACGTAGGAGCCTGGGAAGCATAGATAGCGCCGGGCTCCTCAACCTTGTGCCACCTGAATTTTCTCCAAAGGTCCAGTCTCCATTGGGGTCGCAAGAGCAAACAGGTTTCCTCTGAAAACCCAGGGATCTTTGAACGTCAAGGTTCTGGAAACTCCCTCTCGTTCGTCGAGTTTGGTATGTTCCTTCACTTTGGTGTTTATTATTCAATGCTAATTTCATTCCAGGCCAACAAACAACCCGTCACCTCCAGTCAATCTTCGAAATCAGCCACCACAACACCACGACCCGTGGAAGTTTCACAACGCGGTACTTCTTCCCCACTTTCGAAACCCGTCGTTATGGAAGCGGATAACGCAAAGGCGAGAACAGAGGGAATATCTCGAGATCATCCCTCAGATCAGGCCAAGTTCCAAAGCCCCGCTGCAAAGCGGCTCAGCGAGATTTCGAAGAAAGGTGGAAAGGCTGGCAAGTCAAGGCTTCGTCGAGCACTCTCTTTCAGCAGTGTTGCAGAACTTCGAAGTGCTTCGTCGCCTGATAACCCCGAAATGACTCGCAAACAGCAGCTTGATGAAGAATTGGGAGCTGAACAAGCTGCCATTGCCCAGAAACAAGAAGCTGGTGGTCTTGGTGAAAACATCTACTCAGGCCAACGCCATTTCTTCACCGGATCAACGGATAATATTTCGGTCTCTTCAACTGCATCGTCTGCCTCTATCATGCTGCGCAAAATGGGCAAAGGAGTCAAACGATCCACTCGATCGCTCGTAGGGTTGTTCCGGCCAAAGTCTCTACATAATGTGTCACTTGAGTCGGAGCCGATGGTGCCTCAGGTCTCGCGGGTCACAGTGGAAGCCCAGCTCGAAAGTGCAACTTCTGCCATCCCCAGTTTACCCCGTGAACCTCCGGCGATTGAACGAAACTCAGTGGACACCGCCAACTCTAAAAGGAGTGCCGACAGGGATGAAAATATTCGCTCGCGAAAGAGCATTTTGGGTGGTGATAAGGAGAGAGCTGAGATTCTTGCCGCCGTGAAAAAAGGCATACTCAAAAGTACGTTTCTTCCCAGCGAGTTCTGTTCTAATTTGATACTAAAACTGTGTAGAAACCATGCCCGGCGGTTGTTCCCCCGTCATGCGCCCGTCAGATTCCCACTTTTCCGAGTCTCCTCGTTCCAGTGCTCCTACCACGCCCCGCGATGATCGGCCGCCCGGTTCTGGTCATCGTCGCACTGACTCCGTAATGATTGATGGCGATGAATACTTCCTTCCGGGAGGCCGCTTTAGTGCCAGTCGCGCAAACAGCGCCCCTGCTACCCCTCAAAATGCATCCAGAAATATTTCTTTTAGCCCTAGAATCCAGTTTCATGATACCTGGCCCAGCGGCGAGTATGATCGTCGTGGGGATATCGCGACTTGCAATCGGTTGACTCCTCTTTTGGCTCAGCAGATCAAGGAGGAGCTTAATACTTTCAAAATGGTACGCCTCTTTGGCTTCATCTCTGGTTAAGTTGCTAATACGGTTGATAGGAGATGGAAGTGCATGAATCATCCAAGGTTTATACACACTTTTTTTAACGATTCTGCATCACTGGCGGCGTTCTTTTCCCGCAAAGTAGTGTTCTAGCGTTTTCCTATGTGTATTATTTTATCCTTTTCTTTTCTTGCTGGCTCACCCTCGACGCGAAAACCGAATCTCCGGCATATCTCTATACAATATTGCTTTTGATGACGACCCGGAAGCCTGTCACGCCTACATTACATTCCCCCCCCCCCTCCCCGGCGCCCTTCCCAAGCGCATAGACAAGAGGCTAACCTGCCCCATGACTCCCCTCACACAACCCTGAATTTCAAAAACAAGGCTCCGTTGCTCTGCGTCTTCTTGCGGTTATCTCCGTTGCGTATACTCGGTATTAATGGGTTTTCATTGACTTGCCATCTCTCAATCAGTGTCCAGCTTATCGGTCTTTCCTTTTTGTTTTCTAGCGCGGTATACCGTTTTCAAATTTTTGTTTCTTTTCTACTTTTTCTAATCATCTGGTAGATCAAGGGTTACAACTTTTGTTTTTCTTTTCATGTTGGCCTCCGAACTGTCCCTTTCTTGTTATATCTTCCCTCTTGGTCCCTTTTTTCCATGTCTATTAACATATTTTGTGCCCGTGCTGTGTCTGGTCTCCTATTCCATGAACTGTCAGAGTGAAAGTGTGTATTGATTAGGATCTTCAAAACAAAACTGCAATTCCGAACATTCCGACAAATTTTAACCCCTGTCCTCGAAACTGTTTCTTGCAGCAACATGCATCCCATCCTTGAGAATAACGCAACATTTAATTGCAAATAAATGACGTCTCAATCCTGGCTCGACACAATTGATGAACAGTGCATCGGCCATCCTTGTTCATCAAGTTTCAACAGGGACTTCCCCTGGTACAATTTAGCCCTCAGGAGATTAAGATGTGCGCCAAACAAGATGCGATCCGGAGGAGACGCGGCGATGATCCCGGTTACTAGCGCTGGAGGCGTGAACCCTGATCCTGAGTAGTTCGGCGTTTAATCAAATCGCTTGTGCCCTTTGAGCGAACAACTACTCTGTACTCTACATATGAAAACTCATCAATTCAATTCCACGCATTATATGGACACAAAAAGGAGTATTAGAGGCACTGGCCCCAGAGCGCAACTCTCTACCATTGCTCGCACACTCCCTCTAAGCTCAACACCCCCGTACTGGCTCCCCCCACGGGTCTATACACCATCACCCTCCCCTTCATCATCTCTCCCAAATCATACTTGCCCTCCATCACCACCCTCTCCACCCTCGCATTCTGCTCCAAAACCCCCATCTCCACACCCCTCACCCACTCCACAATCGCCGTGTGCTCACCTACCCTCACATTCTCTTCCCCCGTCACCAGTCCACCGAGCAACGCCCGCCGGTGCCGAAAATGCGCATCTGACAGCTCCATGATATCCCCCGCCCGCACATCGGCGGCTTTCAGGATGCCGTCGGGGGGGAAGTGCGAGGACACGCTCCAGTCGAGGATGAGGTGGCCATGGACACGGCCCGTGCTGGGACGCGGGGGTTCATGCCCGTCGCGGACAGCGGCATGGCGAGCGTGGTGGAGGGCGGCGGAGGCGAGGGACCAGCATTCGCCGTCGGCGACGGTGGTGTAGAGATGGGAGCGGGCGAAGGAGAGGATGTGTGGCGCGTACCACTGCGAGGCGAGCCGGAGCTGGTCGGGGGTAAGCGGTGAGTGTGAAGTGGCTGCGATGGACGGGATATGTTTGATGTCTGCACGCAGGGTGCCGGGGATGTCAGCGGTGTTCCAGCGGATGCGGAGCTTGGAAATGCTCATGTCGATTTCCCATTGGACGGCGCCGATGAGGGTCCAGTCCTGGCTGGGGCGAGAGGCTGGGCTGGAGAGGTGAGTGTCGAAGCACTCGGTGCATTCCCAGGTGTATGTGGCGGAGGAGATGGGCGCGTGGGCGCGGAGTTCGGGGTAGGGGAATGTGGGTGGTTGGGTGAGGAACCAGTTTGTGGAGAGGGCAAGGGGGATGTTTTCTGATGGGTGGGAAGGCATTGTGTGATTTGTACTGGGCTCCTGGCTGTTTGACTGTTCAGAAGGTCAATGGGAGCGTTCTGACCGCAGGGGAATAGGCTTGTATGCAATTGCGATGTGCGGCTGTGGGCTTGGTTATCGCAGGCTATAAGCCTTCATATTGCATCGGACAACGGTAACAGAATAATGCGAATGGTGACTTTGTTCAGTAATAAGACTCACTGCATTCTTCTTCACTTTGGCCATGGTGAACAGTCGGAAATTTATCATGCTGCTCCTCAAGTGTGCGCACTGCAGTACCACAGAGTAGCAGACTCTCTTGTGGAAGGGATAGGGCTAGAATTTCCAACCCATTTCTCGACTGCCAGGCAGGTACCCCTATGTATTGGTTCGTATATACTTCATGAACCACCGCTGGAATTAACACTAATTGCGCTGGGTTCTATGTATGTACTGTATGTATGTACATACCAAGTGACAAGCGCACTCACTTTACAACACTGTTGACTTATCCAGCCTTGCGAAAACAACCTTGAAACGCCGGAAACCACTGCGTAAACCCTTGTCTCCATCTCACACGGACCAATAATGCATAAAGAGGTATTAAATAAAGGAAATTACGAGTCAGCGCGGTTTAGTATTCAACGGTAGCGGAGGCGGCGACGGAGAATGATTGACCGGTCTTGAATGTAGAGACGGTTTCTTTGGCGGCGGCGGTGGCGGAGGCGGTTTTCTCTTGTTGAGCGCATCCAAATCTGGCCGAGAAGTATTCGGGGATGAATACGGGTGATGTGGACTAGGTGCCTGGACAGCGACGTGTCCGGGCGGTGGAGCAGGAGCTGGAGGGTCCGGATGAGCGGGAGACTTTTGGTCTTCAATGAAATCGTTTATCCGTTTGGTGATACCATATTTCTGATTGAAGCCATTGAGTTTGCCTTTTACGGCTTGTATTTGATCATCATGGCGCTCCCGAAAACTGTTGGCCCGTGCGGGAAGCCCTGGATGATATTCATTTGCGGAGGTTTGGTGCGAAATGTGTTGTTGGACGGCCGGTTGGGACGCGACATGCGAAGCTGCCGTGGCTGCTGTTTGCAGTTGCTGAGAAGTGACACCTTGTATGGGACTGGGCGTATTGGAGGGGATAGAGGAGATAGCCGATGAGGGAGATGGGTTTAGACGTGAAAACCGAGCCTGTAGCTCGTTTGTTGTATTATCGGTACTGGCGGCAGTTCGGCCCGTATTAGGGAGGTAAGAGTTGCTGCTTCCCTGACGCTGGATACCAAACGCCGGGACAGAGACACCGGCATTGGCTAAGCGGTTCATGGCGCCTTGGTTAAGGTACGATTCTGCGTTTTTGGGGGCTGCAACAGCTTCGTATGGCGGCGGGGATGTTTGTGGGGAAAGGTTGGGGGAGGATCTCCGGGGCGGTAGTCTGGGCGGTAGGGACGGCATTGTCTTCGCCGTCGAGCTATGGCCTTGATGAGACGAGTCACCCTGGCGGGTTGGCGGCGTAGGAAAGTGGCGGGTTGAGAGACCCGTGGTGTCGGCGCGATATGGCACGGGCGGGGGGCCAGGCTGTGCGGGAGCACTCTCTTCAACTTGATGCTGCCGTGAAGAGACTGGAGGAGTATACGAGGCCGCACCGGCGGTGTTTGCGCGTCTAGGAGGTGGTGCGAAAGACGATGGGTCCTTTAGAGTGGACAGCGGTCGTGGAACATGCTCGGACCGCTGGCTGGCATCTGAGCTTTTGCCTTTTCCTACCCATCCGGCCTAGATTGGAGAGATTAGCACGAGAGAAGCGGAAACGACATCTAGTCCGCAGGGATTGCGCTCGTAGAAACGGATGCTGAAGACATACCACCTGGTTGATGCCCTTGAAATCGCCGCGCCAACTCTCGCGGCCGCCCTCCTTGCCCTTGGGATGCCACCCATCCTTGACCATCCCCTTCAAGCCGCTCATTTCGACGCTTGAACAACTATCAAAACCCGTAGCTTCAACAAAAACAACCGTCAATGGACTTGTGGCCGCGTTGGAATTGAATGCCCAACGTTGTCGTCGTCAGTCTTTGGTCTTCGTGGGTGTCACTGTCCGTCGTCAGCGCATCACGTGTGGATCGCCGGTGATGGATTCACTTTGAGGAAAACAACAAGAACAACCAGGAGGCAGCGGAACAGAGTGTGAGCCGAGAGATATATGCTTTGCTGTATCTCCCCGTTGTAGGCTTTGCAAGTTTGATTCGTAAACACAGACCCAAATCTGGTGGATATTCCTATCTTCTGGCGACATGTACTTGGCTGATCAATATCAAGATGCACAGTCTACTGGTTTAGAACAGGCATTTTGCTCAGTCCTTGCTGTTCAAATGTTTTAATTCACATTAAGCCTTGAATTTGTCACTCATATCTAATCCATCGCCCTCCTCGCCGCCACTGAGGCCAGCCATCTCATCATCCAAGCCCTCAAATATCATAAACTGCTCGTTCTTCGCATCCGTATCGTCAGGAACTACATTTCCATTTTGTACCTCGCATTCCTTCAGCACACACTCACGTCCAATCTTACTTCTCCGCCCAATAATGCAATCCGTAAGCTGGCTTCGTTCGCCGACAATGACGCCATCCATAAGCAGGCAGCGAGTGAGGCGCGCACCGCTGGCTATATGACAATTCGCGCCCACAACAGACTCCTTGACAACTGCTTTTTCTTCAACTGTGACGTTTTCAGCAATGAGGCAGTCTGCCTTGGTGACAGTACAGCGCTGGGCGATGCCAGCTGGATGAGCAATTTTGTTTTGATGGGCAAGTGAGGAGCAAGATTCGCCGGCATCACTGATAGCTTCGAGTTTTGCGAGGCGGAGAGAGGTAGACAGGAGCAGGGCGGAGTTGTCGACGCGTCGGAGGATAGGTTCGGATGGCTTGGATGAATGTATGTATGCCAGGACAGGAGGGACGATAAGCTTGTCCGGTGAGGGTAATACTTCGATCTCCTGAAGTGTGTCGCTGCGAGCCAAGGGGCCGGGCTTGGACCGGGACATCGTACCGTTAGGGTTGATATCCAACCACCGCGTGGATTTTGTTGTGCTCATAGCCATCAGGTCGATGTCTTCTTCCACTTGGTCACGCCTGTTGCCAAATTTGTTTCCGTGATCTCTGTCCGGGTCGAAAATCTCTCGCAGACCCAGTTTCTCTCCTAGGCCACTTTGCCATTCCGCCTTGGCCCACCAACCCACTAGATCTTCGCTGATGCTTTCGAATTTTTCGTTCATCAATGCCATTTCCTTGACCCAGTACGGCAATATATAGATATGCGCATCTCGATAGGTTGTTAGCATTTTGATTTTGCCATGGCGTTTCAATAACGAATGCCGAAGTAGCAGCGCCTGGTGCTCCTCCATTGCATCCTTCAAGCTATCCATTGGCATCGTATAGACTAGTTTAGCCAAAGACGACGAGCCATTGCTACCTGCACGTACTGCAGGTGCCTCATCTTTGTCTAAAGGCGTGAGCGCAACAAAATCAGCAACTTCGGTCTTTGTTTTTGCACCGTTGGGTGCAGTGGGGTACCACACGCTGATTCCGCCCCTTCGTCCACATCGTTCGCCGCCTACGCCCACCAAACTCGAGGTCCTTGATTCAAGCCAGTCCCCGTCCCATGAAGCATCTAGAGCGCCATGCGCCGTCATCCATGCTTCTAGGAAGGTGACGCCGGGAACTTCGCACACTAAATCACAGGGAAGCAATATGAAATCCGACTTTATGCATGCTTGAATCTCTGGGAGGCGGAGGAGTTCTGCAGTTCCTGTGGTAAGAGTTAAACTCTCCGGAGCGAGGATCGTTGCGGACGGGGACGGAAGGGATGTGAGATGGGGGTTTTGTGATAAGGAGGCTTCTAATGCAGCTTTGCTGGATTGGGGCGTAATAAGTGTGATATCTATGGTTCGTCCATCAGTTTACAACGCGGGGTTGCGCAACAAAGCAGTAGCAAAACGCAGTTCCAGAAGCATGGTGGCTCGTACTTGTAATTCCCATGCGATAACACCAATCCAAGGGATACCAAACCATCGGGCGGTTTGCGATCGGTACTAGAGCCTTGGGGAATTCTTCCGGAATAGACGTGAACGTGTTTAACGACACCCCAGGGCCGCAGAGTATTAGGGCCTGGAACCCCAGCGGGGGGCCGGAGTGAGGCATTCTTCAGGATATTTTTCTCAGCGACTGTCTTGGTTATAATTACTGTCTACAGCTTAGATGCCCGCCTTACAAAGAGTCACTGCGGGCAAACAATTTCGAGCACGTGACAATAAGCAGCTCATTAGTCATCAGCCTTATCTGAAGTGCAAACAGCGCAAACCCCCAGCCACATGCTAACTAACTCAGCAAGCCCCAGCCACACCGATTCTGCGAACTTCCGAGGCTGAAGGCGGGCGGCGGCTTGCTCACTGGTCGCCTGGGGGAACGATGGAAGCATCGACTCTCCGCTTTCCATCGCTAAGAGCGCAATGCGCTGTCTTTCCCATCGACCAGTGCATCGCAACAGGCAGCCCGTTCCTTATCCTTCACTGATCTCTGCCCCACATGTCGGATCGCTACGGTCGCCGTCGACGCCCAACCGGTTTTAGCTCGAGCGGTCGCCGCACAGCACTCGGGTACTGGATCCCCCTTGCAGTGACAGTGTCGGTCGCGGCGGTCGGACTGGTGGCATGGGCATGGAGCGAGCGCAACGAGGATGATGAAGACGAATACAATGGTTCTCCGGAGCGTCGTACCCCGATCGGACTAGACCCAGGTGCTGAAGATTCGGGCTATGCAAGGGGTACGGCCACTGGCGCCGAACATCGCCCGCTAGAAGAAGACAACAGCGTGCTGTCTCGCCTGCAAGGCGCCTGGCGCCGGTCGCCGAGCCCCCAGCAATTACTCGATGGTGCTAGCAAAAAAGTGGCTGCTGGGGTTGCGGCTGCAGGAGCTGCCGTTGGAGGGGCGCTGAGCGCAATCCGCGAAGAGGGATCCGGTGACTTTGAAGACCATTCAAGATGGGCTGAAGAAACCGTACCGCCTGGCACGAGCGAACCACCAGCTCGCTCTGTGACTGGAGGGATTCCTCCTGTGACTCCAGCCGCAACGGAGCCAATGGCCAAACGGAAAAAGACCGTTGCGATTGTCGTATCCTCAGTCTCTAGTGGCGAACCTGACGATGACAGTGTATCTGGACATGCTGTATGCTAATTCACGTCTTACCAATCCTCATATGCTAAATACTAACTAATATTCATAGTCCATTCTCGCCCATCTGCCCGAGTATATCGAGCCGGACACTGCGCGTGTTTTTGTTCTTATTTATGCGCCTGGGATGGAACCTCGAACCGCCGCGGACGGAAACTCCTCTCGTCCTACCTTGTCAATGGCCTCATCCTACTCCAATATCAGCCCCGAAGAAGTCATAGCTGCAGATTCCAAGGAAGATTTGAAGGATATCGAGCCCAAGCCGACCACAGACGAGTTTCCTTTGGCATCCCCGTTCTTCAAGACCCTTTATAATCAAGCCCAGGTGCTCGTGGATAAAGAGTCAATGATTATGCCCTTCAGCACGCCCACGGGTCATGTTCACATTATTAGACACCTTTCGCCAGATCTCGTCTACATTCAGGAGAGCCTTACTGGAGACAAAGGCGAGACTGTCCATAATTTGACAGGCTGGGTCCGACAAGTTGTCGTAGTTGTTGGCGACGAAGGGGGCCGCGGAGGGCTAGTAGATAGCGACGACGAGTCTAGCCTAGCAACCAAAGGGGAAAAATGGTGGCAAAAGGAGGGGGTGATAGGACTGGGGAAACGGATTGACGTTGTGGATGGATTACGCGCTGGAGATCACTGGAAACGACGAGTTTGCGGCCATGAATGATTGATGTGACGACGTCTACAAAGATAGTGGGCATTCTCTCACTAATCAATATTTTCACTGGCGTTTTCCTACTTTGTTATGATAATACTTTTTGATCTAATTTCTGGTGGGCTGGCTTTTGGCACTGGTAAGGGATGGTGATCATGAGGGGCTTTTAATGGCCGGCCACGGAGGGAAGATACCCCTGGGAGGAACGAGCGTGATATAATAACACTGAATATGTACACCGCACCCAAGCTTTGTATTTATCCCTTTCGTCCATCCTTTAGCAAATATCTTCAGTGTCTCTCAGCCAATTCTATATAAGCCTTGGCATTGGCGCTTAGTCAGCGATGGACCTCACGTGGTGCCATCAAGCCTCATTCCTTGGCATCAAATCGACCGTCAACGAGATTCAGTCAACAGCCATCAGGACGACGACCTCGCTGCTCGGCCATCTCTGTGCTGGTACCAAAGATGAGCCCTTGCGTGACTCTCTGTGAATGATGTAGAGTCCTTCTATGCGTTTATACCAACGCGAGTTTGACTCCTTTGCTCCAACGCGCTGCCCAGAGGCAACCTCCCGGTCCCTCCCCACATGTCGAACATATTCATCGTCTTACCCGTCCTAGGAGCTTCGACAGGATCGCAACGCATTTGAGCCGAATAGCGGCCAACCCTTTGTGGTTGTGGGCGCCTTTTGGGTGACCATGGCGACCGCAGTATCAGCCAAATCCGCTGCGCATGCCGGCAAGCTCAAGCGTCCCACACCCAGCTTCGTCCAATCTGGACCCAACGGCATGAGGCCTTCGCAGCCTACAGCGTCCGCCGTTGCCTCAACAAGCAAGCCGGCCTCCACCAACCAAGCTACTTCGTCGTCCTCGATGAACTCCGCAGCCGTCAATGGCGTCTCCGGCCGGCCAATGCCGAGGGTGAGAAAGGAACCTCTGAAGGGGTCCGATCCATCTTCGCGGTTGCGCATCTCCACAAGAGCTAGAAGTATTGATGCTAGCAATGGAGATAGGCGATCGGCAAAGCGCCTCCCCGAGCCCTACGGTAAGTTGCCGTTTGCTTTAGTATACCATGGACGGTGTGGAAGGTTGACCGCAACTACCTGCAGTGAAAACTACAGCTTATCTCCTAAAGAAATATGCGAAGCAGCCACCATCTTTCACGATACATCTTCACCCCACCCATTTTCGATTTGAGAAGCAAGACGGAAGCTTTCCTTATAATTCCGAAATGAAAGTCATCATCGAACACATCAAAGCCGGGACTGTTCCCCACGACATGATGGAGGAATTGCTCAGGGGTGGTGTGCGATTTTATGAAGGTATTTACCTAGCCATAAATCGGTTTTGGAACAACTGGGATCTAATTTTACGCTTCTTAGGTTGTCTCATTGTCCGCGTCGTCGATCACAAGTCCCTATCCAACCAGCCTAGCTCGTCCAGGTCCTCGTCGAAGGAAAAGGGTTCCCTATTTTCCATTCATAACCACAACGAGCACATTACTCCTTCTCCCTATACCCCCTATCCCAAACAAACTCAGGTGCAACCAAAAGCTAATAGCACTGGGCCGCCTGATCAACAGTTGCAACCATCAGGTCTTCACAAGGAGAAGCGGAACGACAATGGTTCCTCCAGTGGTGCCCCAAAACCACAGGTTTTCACCACGGTCTTGTATCCCACTCCTCAGTCGTTACAGGCAGAATTAACAATTTTATCGACGACTCCCGATCCAAGAGCAGTAGCTCAGCGACAGCCACAAGCCTACAACGTCTCACGGCCTCCAGCGTCCGCTACTCTCCCTTCGCCATCTACCCCTCTAACCGCAGTCCAACCTTCACTGGCCGATCGAGGACCTCCAACTAAGCGTCAGAAGATGATGGTGGAACCGCATGAATTATCAGAATTTGAAGCCAAGTTGATCAAAGCTACTGCGCCCCCGCTGTACCTGGAGCCTGTCGATAGTTTTGAGGCAAGCCAAAAGCTACTTAAATCCCTGGAATCGCCGCTTCACCGCCACAAGCCCCCATCGCCAACGACGAGGAGACGGACGGTTGCTGAACTGGCCGCTGATGAAGCACTGGCAGCGGAAGAGGAACGATTCATGCTTATCATGGATGAACGACTTGAACCTGCTAGTTCAGCTGCCGCTGGAGGTAACAAATCCGCTGTGGATGAAGAATGCGGTGCAGCACCCTTTGAGCCCCGGTTTTCACGGTTCAAAACTCTTGAAAATATTCGTGCCCAATACGAAGAGAAGGCAAAACGCGATCATGATCGAAAGCTTCAACAGGATCGGGCTAAAAGAGAGCAGCAGGATGCCGACAGAGAGAGACGACGGTCTGAGTTTCGTCAGATTGAAGAACAAGCCAGGGAAGAACGTCGCAAGCATTTGGCCGCGCAGCAGTCTCCGCAAACTCAGGCTCAGCTTGTCGCTAACCAGCAAAGCCGTCGGCCCCCCTCTCGCGGAAATGCAGTTGGTATTGCGGGCACGCAGGCACCGCAGTCAGCGCATCTTGCCGCTGTATCGCAAGGACCCCAGTCTTCTCCCATTGTACGAAACACTACGCCACATGCGTCTTCACCGCTAGCAGGGCATGTGATGGTTCCTACCATGAGCCAGGGGATTTCTATGGGAATGGGAAGTTCTGCTGAAGCCGCGCGGAGCCCAATCGTCGCCACAACTTCAATGCAAGCCGGCCATCCAAATGCGATGAGCCATCCTATGGTCGCAAGCCGAAGTCAACAAGGTCAGAATGCTCACGAAACACCGCAAATGGCCCACGGGACACCGGCAATGTCTCATGCGACACCCATAATGCGAAATATTACCCCTACCCAACGCATGGGACACGGAAGCCCCATCACGACCACTATGACCCAAACCCCTGTTATGGGCCAAACTATGATGGCTCCACAAATGAATCGCATGGTGATGACGCCTCAGCAGCAGCATGCTATGATGCAACAGAGGCAGGCAATACTCGCTCAACAGCAAGGTCTTAATCCTGGTCATCAGTTTAACCCTCAACAAGTTGTGCAAATGCATGCGAACGCAGTCGCGCAGCAGAATATTCAACAAGCTCAGCAACAACAGATACTGCAGCAACAGCAACAGCACCATCCGCAGCAACAACAACAGCCTCGAGGGCCCCAACAGCAGCAGATGCATCCCCAGGCGTTTCAAGCACAGCTACTTCGCTCACAACTGGCACATATGCAAGCTGCCCATCAAGGTCATCAGCAGCAACAGACGCAGCAACAGCACCACTCGAATATACCGCAGCTGTCCGCTCAACAGCAACAAATGCTTGCAGCCGCACAGCAAGCAGCAGCCCAACAAGGAGCCCAACAGCCTAATGGCGTTAACAATCCCAGAAAGCACCCACTGGCCCAGCACTACGGCAATCTATACCAAAGCCATCTGCAGCGTCTTAGAGCAGAGATGGCAAGCAAATACTCCAGCACAGTTGGACCTCCTCATACATACCCGGCCGAGCTCCATGCGCATTTCCATGAGGGTCTCGAAAAGGAGGCTAGGCAATTCGTGAGTGAGGTTATGAAGAAGGATCGTGAAAATGGCCGTCAACGCGCTATTATTGCTGCTCAAGTAGCCCAGAACCAAGCCCAGGCTCAGGCCCATGCGCAGGCCCAAGCTCAAGCACAGGTCCACGCTCAAGCTCAAGCAATGCAGCAGCAACAATCGCATAATTTGATGGGTAATGGTGCAGGAAGGCATTGATTGTGAGTGCAGTCGTTATTTTTGGTGTCAAGTCTAGCCATTTCCCCTATGGTATTTCCAAGTACTCCTCCTTTTTTTTGGATTATTCTCTTCTTTGTCTAATGTATTCTTTTTTTCTTTTCGCTATTCGGACGGTATGGGACATGGATCATTACGGGTTGTGTTTGCTTGTTGAATGCTGATTGGGATGAACTGACATCCTTAAATGATAATGGCGTATGTGGTTTCATGGGGGACGGCTGGATGGGTGGTATGGTGATTTGAATTTGTTTTGCATACCCGAGGGACGCGATTCCCTGCTTTACCTTCTGTATTTACATTTTCAAGTGACTTCAAATTTGTTTATGCTAATCTGCTTGATCCGTTTCTGCAAACCGTGTTTGGTTCTGCTTCATGCAGCCCTGATTCTTCTGTGTGCTTCGTGTTTTCTGCTATAGCCTACGATTCTTAGCAAGTAGGTATCAATTGGGAAGTCATATTCATAGTTCCTCTCCTCAGTTCAGAGTAACACTTCTCTCAAGAGATTGGATTTCGTGGCACCAAGCGACTTGAACCAGTTTCAACTTGCTTTGCGGTAGGCATATGTGGTTACTTTGTCATATGC